GGAATCATATGGTACTTTTAATGGGTATGTTAGAAAGGCACCGGTAATGACCTTGTTCCCGCACAAAGGAGAGGATGTCGGGTGCCCCTACATATTGTCCCACCTCTTGTGACATGTATCGTTTTGGAATTTCCAGTGGCTTGATCAGGAACTACTGCAGGAATCCAGATCCTGTGACAGCCCCTTATTGTTATACGATGGATCCCAATGTCAGGTGGGAGTACTGCAACCTGACACAATGCTCAGACGCAGAGGGGACTGCCGTCGCACCTCCGACTGTCACCCCGGTTCCAAGCCTAGAGGCTCCTTCTGAGCAAGGTAAGGAGCCTGTGGCCAGACATCTACACGCTTAGACGCCGAGATGAAAAGCCATGGAAATTCTGACTGGTGAAACAGCTTTCAATGGTCCACGGATGCTGGAGTGTTGACCGAGTTCTGCCATGTAGAAGGAAGCCTCCGTGCAGTCTCTGGAGGAGTCAGGGGAGTGATTTCTGGTACAACGTGGGTGAGCTGTGTCTTTAGAATGGGCACAAACCCTCCAGGGTGTGCCCAGGAAGCTTTTTCAGGGATTTCTTCAAGTAGACAGCATTCGGTGCAATCTTCAGCATTGCAGATTCCAAGAAATATGACTCTGGAGCCTGTGACCCTCGAGAAGCCTAATCGGGCTTCCTTAATTCCATATCGCCCTGGGTCTGTGGAGCAGCACGTGAACTCCCAATGCTCTAAGGCTCTGCAGCCCTAGGCTTGAAGGGACTGATTTCTCCGTGTTCTTAAAGCTCTTTCTGATGGTACTTGTACCTGGGAGGGGTCTGGAGAGAAAGAGTAGTAGATTTCTCCTTTATTACAATTCAGGATGCGGGGCACCAGAGGATTCCCTCTCTCCTCCAAAGGAATAAGCTTTTGACCTGGACACATCCCTGAGAAGCAAAGTGTCTTTGTCTTCAGTCAGATGTAGAGGACCGTTTTCTGCCCCATGACCCGGAAGCCAAAGGCCTTTGACTTTCATGATGAACGGTCTCGGGAAACATGCAAGATTTCCATGTCTGTCCCCACCTCTGCCCCTGACAGCCGATTACCACCCGCAGCCCGCATTGCCAAGTGCAGTGCATTTTGCTCGAGCCTGCCCCATCCTCCTCATGAACATTCAGTAGAGTTTCCCAGAAAGGTGCTTGCTCATGAGCGCACTTTCCAATGAGGAGCAGTCTGATCTGTTCTCTTTCTCTAAGGTTGCAGGTGAAATATTTCCAAGAACTGACTACGGTTCTAGAATGGTAGGAATCTGTTGCTTTGGTGTTGGTTTGTTGGTTGGTTTTCTCACATCCCTCGGCCTACAGATAAGGAAAAGAGTACGGTCGTAATTCTCATAGACTCCTTCCTGGTTGTGTCATCAGTGGCTTCACATGTATCTCTGTTCTCAGAGATACTCAGCTTGATTTCTTCTGTTTTCCTTTCAGCACCGACTGAGCAAAGGCCTGGGGTGCAGGAGTGCTACCACGGTAATGGACAGAGTTATCGAGGCACATACTTCACCACTGTGACAGGAAGAACCTGCCAAGCTTGGTCATCTATGACACCGCACTCTCATAGTCGGACCCCGGAAAACTACCCAAATGGGTATGTCTTTGTTCTTTACCGTAAGAGAAGAAAGGGTCAACTGAAGTTTCTGTTAGAAGAGACGTGCTTCAAGCTGAGTTCTCCAAGCTCAACTTGTGTCAGACGCCGATGGCGTAGCAGAATGTCTCAGGATGATTGCCTTGGAGCCTAGGGTCTGAGAGAAGAGAACTGTTAAGCTGCCTGTCCTTCCTCCTAGTTTTATGGAGCAGAAGGAACATCTGGAGGCGAGGACATCACATGATGAAGAAAGTCAGAATGGCAAACGACCAAACACTTAGATTACCCTTCCGCAACACCCACTAAGGGTCAATGAAGACTTTCCAATTGGAATTCTGTTATTCTGACTTCCAATTCCTGAAGGGAAGGTTGTGTTTGCCTTTTCTGTCTGGGCTCATGAGGAAAGAAAGGTGCTTATTTATGGACAGGTAAATGTATCTCTTCCTACGTCTATGTAAACTCCAATGGGTAGGGAAACACTCGGCCTTAAGTACCAGTGACCTGAAGGGATATGGGTTCACAACAAGAGAAGAGCCAAGGCAGGAAGGCAGATGAGAGTGAGCAAAGAGATGGATGCTGAAAAACAAAAGGGATGTGGAGATGGACAGAAGCTTGGTCTGAGCACCCCAGGGCCAATTTTTTGGCCACGAGCGAGTACGAAAGACATGGGAAAATGGTTTCTCCATGTGGCACAGGAGATGGTAGAGGACCTAGAGAATTGAGAGAGGGGCAACGATGAGCTCAACTCCATAGATGCCTTGGCTTTCTTCCTGGATAGCCTTCCTGCACTGACTAGCAAGGAGGTGGAGCCCAAGCAGACTGTAGCCATCTTGCTGAAGGTAGGGGAGTGGTGGGAGTTTGGGATGACTCTGGTAGCTAAAACTTTCTAGGTCTGCCAGAAATAAGACCTGATTTGTGGAGGAAAGGAACTCTACAAATATGCAAAGAAGTCTCCTCCAGTTGTTGGCCTGACATGACGCTGCATGTGCACAGAAAATGGTTCCACAAGAAAGTATGGCAACGAACATTTACTGAGAAACAGAAACTACAAAAGAACAGCAAGCTCAATAAAGGAGACAGAGATCACATAGCACTGTGGAAGACTGGAGTTCTTACTAGCTAGACGGGAGAGTCCTCACAGAACACGTTGCCATTTCCGTGGAGACCCTAGAACAGCCATATTAATATATTCCGAGAATACAGGCAGCTGCAGACAATCCCTTTCATAGCTGAAAAGAGAGTGTCCAAGCATCAAATCGGTTTTCAAGTCAATGAACTGCCAGTGAGAGGAAATCTCAAGTCTCTTTACAAGTAAACAAGAAAGTCAATTGGCTCAGCTATGAGGTATCCCAAGAGTGAGTCCTAAATTTAAACTTTGACTACATGTCGCAAAGCATTTCGTGTGATCCATAACCAGGAAATAAATCAGGCAATACAAACAAGCTCAGAAATGACAGACATGATTAGAATTGCATGAAAATTTGACATATCAGTATGACAACCGATTTCAAATATTTAAACAAATGAATATGAAACAAACCAGATGTTATATCAAGAGAAATTAACAGTATAGAATAGCCAAATCAAATTAACGAACTAATATAAAAACAGTATGTCTTAAATGAAAAAATTACTGCATGGCCACCTGATCAAGTTAGACGTTTCAGAAGAAAAAAGTAACGAAAAAGCAATTCTACAGAACCTACAGAACTACTTACACATACACTCCCAAATTCAAAACACACCCGTACACGGACACACGCAAAATCTCACAAGTTCTCTCACACACAAGGACACTCCAGAAGAAATAGTGCAATACAAAATCAGTCGAGCTTCACAGACATGTAGGAAAATATGAAAAGATTTATTGCATGTGGGAAGCAAGTCACAGAAAAGAGCAAGGGAGTTTGGAATAGAAGCAAGTACCGGAATCAAGGATGGTTGATAACTTTTCAATTATGAAGAACGTTGACAAAATCACAGTTTCATGAAACTCTAGGGATCAAATAGGAAATTTCAGAAACAAACAAACAAACAGAAAAAACCGTGTGTGCTGTACTTCTGTACATCACAGGTCGAAGGTAACAAGGCACAGGCATAATACGAAGAAACATCTCAGGAGAAAGTAGAGGAAAAAGAGCTGTGTCTTCCCAGAAATACAGTGATACAAATTGCTAATGCGTTCACCTCAGAAACACTGGAAGCCGGATGCCAGGGATTATTATTAAAATGATAATCTGGAACTAGAAGAGAACAACCGAGAATGCTGAATCCAACAATAAAATGCCTTGATGACGATCTCTGTTGGATAAATGCATATTGTGCACTGCCCCAAACAAAGCAACCAGAAACTGCCAGACTTTGGAATGAGCAGCCTTATGTAACAAGAGACGTGACCCGAAGGAATTAGATAGAAGAAGAATAGAAGAAGAAGGGAACTTTCTGCAGCCCACATAATATAGAATCCAGCAATTCACAAACGTAGATAGATGTAAATGCAAAATATTTTCTCGATCAAATTTCTATGTCTTTTTGAATGAGAGTTGACTGCTTGAAGCAGAATGATAGCACTATGTTTAAGTTTAGCATATGTAGAGGTAACAATTTGAGCAGGTAGCATAAATCGTGCAGGTAATAATTGGAAGTGTACCACTGTGTCTTACCTCATGCACGATGGTATGTAATATTAACAAAAGGTTACTGTGTGGGTTCAAAGGGATATTGCAAATCCTGGAGCAAACACAAAGTTTTGAGCTCTGAGTTTTATGTTATAATAAGAATATCCCATGCATTCGAAAGAGGGAAGCCAAGGAAGAAAAAGAAGTCTTTCAAGAGCTCGGGCTCTTATACATCCAGTTGCTGATTGAACCAGCTTCCTGGAATGGAGGGTCTGAGGTTGAGACTAGGTCACAGTTGTAGAATCTGTAGAGAGAGAGTGTTGGATCCCCATGGCCCAGAATACATTTCTCATTTTCTCGGGCAGCCACAGGTCATGAATGTGAGGATACTGAGAGGTTGGAGCAAGGTTCTTGGGAGGCATAAGGAAGAGCGAATGCTTCAAAATCCCCGCAGCCCAAAGTCCTCCCCTGCTTTGCCCCCTTCTTCATTGCTTTCTGTTCCTCCGTAGCTGTCCGACCTCTTCAGATCTCTTAATCTACCCTTCCGTTTTCCTTGATGCCATGGTTCCCACTGTTCTTTCACCTCATCCGCTTTCCCTCAGTCCCACAGTGGCTGCGGCCAGCAGA